CAGGGCATCCTGCCCCAAGCTCCCTTGTCGTCATTAACAGTCGATATGTCAAGAACGTGTTCTCCTATTCGTGTGTTGCTCTTCCTGGCTCTCGTTGTAATCCAGCAATTAAACTCCCCCACGCTTCTTTCTGCTCTTTGCTGATTTTGTCACGTATTAATTTGTCAGTCTCCAGGTCCAAATGCCACGTGTCATATTGATTTGAGTAACACGGGTTATTTCTTCTCCTTATTAGATGAATCTCGTGATTAAGATTAACTTCACACCGATTTGAACTTGATTGATCCACAGCTCATGCCTGATCCTGATCTGCCAGTCAAACTCAACATACATTGTCTCAAGAAGGATAATCCATATCAAGACAGGCAGGCTGGGATTTAATTAAAATAATTTGCAACACAGTCGTGAACAATGCACTATTTTCAAGTGACGGTTTCTTTATTTTAAGTAGAGGATTCTGAGATTGTTGGAAAGCATACCTTCATATATCCATATTGTACGAACAAGTTAGGTTCCAGGGGTCTGTTTGTAAGTCGATTTGTTCGTAAATCCAACTTTACTCCTGTCGATTCCAAACATGTTGTACGGGGAATGGCTTTAATAGTTGCATACTCTCCTGGAGATGTAAATGTTACTGATTCTTCATGCTCTGCCGATGTAGATGCCACCACCGCCATCTATTGCGCGGCGGTTGAACTTACGACTCTCAGTCCGAACAGGCAACTGGACATACGGACAGATTTGTTCGCATCTCTGAAAGTTTGTAAGTCGAATATTCGTAAGTAGTGGAGTCCCTGTGTAATGCGAGCATAAGCGAGGTTTCGCCACTCAGCTCTGGGCCAATCGGACGGCCCGGAGTATTGGGGGCGGGGCCCAGTAAGGTGGGCGTATGGGGAGGTCCGCCGCCCACCTCCGGTCCAATCGGATGCCCGGATGATCAGGGGCGGAGCCTCGGGGTGGAGCCGGGGGGGCGCTAAGTGAAGGGCGTGATCTAGAAGGTTCGGAAAGGGCGTGGTGGAAGGTGGAGACGGGATGACGAGAGAGGGGAATATAAAGGGGATCCGGAATAGGCTCGAGGCATATTTTTAGGTTTTTTTCGGTAAAGTCACGTAGGTAAAAAACATTAAAAAGTAAAATAAAATAAAAAATCACGACGTTTCGGAGGCAACACAAGCTTCCGTCTTCAGGTGATACCGTCACAGCCACGACAGCTGTATCAAGTAAATGAGAGATTGCAGAAGCCACCACTCCGTTTATATAATGGTTGGAGGAGGTGGTGGAGCAAGGGCCGCATACTTTTATTAATATGGTAAGGTGAGGCTTAAGACTAAGAATAGACTGCATAACAAAGGCTGAGCCTTTGTTATGGAGAGGTGCTGTTTGTGACTCAACCTGTAACAGGGAGACCACCACTAGACATGGTAAAACTGTGATGGTTGTCTGTCAAGCAGTTGGCATAGACTCGAAGCGGGACCACGTCGAGTCGTGGAAGGTCTCCAGCGCCATCGGCCACGTGGCTGCTGGAGACGGCTCCAAGCACACCGTCAGCCAAAGGTGTGCGGGAGTGCAACTGACGGAAAGAGAGCGCGGGGCGCACCAGTGGAACAGCCAATCCACGGTCGGGTCCGGTGGAGTGTGAGCGGCATAACAAGAACAAAGACAGAGACGGAGACCAAGCTATGTGTTGTCAACGTCCTTTATTACACCTGTATAGCTGAATCAACTCAAGCCTCCCGCAAATCATGTGACCTTCTGTGTGGCCACTCCCACTCTGAATCCCTCCCCTCTCTCCACCCCCTATGAAAACAAACACTTCGTCAGGACTCTTATGGAGGGAGCCTCTTCCTCCCTATCCCGATTTTTCCTGATGCTTTGGTCCAGTTTTTATGTTACTTTTCCATCCTTTTCAACTCATTTAATGATCTTCTTTCTTCCCTTTCCAATTCCCTTTTTTCATACATTATGGCATTGATTCTCCTCCCCTTCCAATGGCATGCCACCGGTAAAAAGTTGCAAGCTGATGTCTATGTTCTTTGCGAGCAAGCATTGTTCATACTTTACTTGTGAAAGTTAGGATAGAGGTCTTCATCTCAAAAATAACTTTATTGTCATTAGCAATTTATTTATTTTCATTTGTCACCTCACATGTAAATATTTCACATTTTGAAAACACGTATTGGTACTATTTCTAAAAACATAATACAACAAATAAACAGCTTTGTCCATCAACTGCTGAATAAAAGCGGTCTCACCGTGACCACGTGGGTGAGTGCAGCATTTTCTATTTATTGTTATTAGTCTGCTGAGCTGAACGTTAAAGAGGAAGTTGAGAAGTCGACTTCGATCGAACGGTCAGTCAGGCCCCGGCAGATTGTGGCGCAGTTCGTATGCTTCCTCCCAAAGGAAACAGACTGTGAGACCACCTGCAGAGAACAACATGTTCACTTCCACATTCGGCCACTTGTAAATGTTAACTGTTGTGTGATTCATCTTCTTGGTTCTATCGGTAAAGTCACGTAGAAGGGAAATAATAAAATAATAAAAATAAAACATAATAAAATAGTTCTCACGACGTTTCGGCCACAACGCAAGCAGTCGTCCTCAGGTGCTTAATATACATTATTATTATTATTTCAGATTAACAACTCGAATAGTGATATTGCCATAGCAATATCACTATTTAATGGTGGTTAGAGTATTAAAAGTACGTGCGGGCAGTTACTGTGCACATAGACTGAGCTCTACATTGAAGGTAATATTATTTGTGAAACCTTTTTGGATCTATCAGAAAAACATGTTTTAACATTCCTCGTAGTATAACAATGGGCTAACATAATACAGAATCACAAGATCCCTGAAAAGCAATGATTTCAAGGCAATATTTTTTGACATATACTGTTTCGGTAAAAATGATCAAAATATGTCCTAATTGCAAGCCTCATCTCTTTAATGCAAACCCCCCTTGAATTATTTTTTCCATCTTATAATGATCATGTTTGTTCCATATTGTTTGTTCCATATTGAGTTTAATAATTTAATGACTACATATCTTATAAATGCCCCTAATATATGCAAACCCCATACTTATACAACAATGCAATGCTAAGATATATCTATGGGGAAAAACACTGCATTTTGGGAAGGTTTAGGATGGACAACAAATATTCCGATTGTTCAACCACATTAAATTCACATTGACATATCGTACCTCGTACATATATACAGTAAATACAAGGCACATACACGTGTATGGTAGTCTGTATGCATATGAAACCAAGATGCATAACTATGATTACGTGAATCAACACTTTATAATGCCACGAAATGGAAAGCAAATATAATACATTACCGTTTTCTCCAACTGAGGGTATACATAGAGAGGGCATTACGTGAAAAAAGAACCATGGACATGCAAATATTACTCTTAAATAAACAACTAATGTACTATGCATCTATCTAGTTCCCTTTAGACCGTGTTGTTCACGTTTTTTTGACTAAAAAGCACATTGTTGGTCAAACAAGAAATAGTAGCATGTTTTATAAATACTGTACTTAAAAATGTAAAATTGATGTCAAAGTTATGTTTAATATTTTGTTTTGCAACTGTCATCTGCTATTGCCAATTATGTTTGAATAGGTTGCTGATCGTCTTTACTTAATATTGTTGCAAGCGATCATATGCCACAAACCCGCACGCATTTGAAAGACGTTCACTCAAACTCTTGACGGAAAGGCAAACCTACTTGCTGTTGAAGGTAGGAATCCACAAATTAGGGATCGTACTAAAAGCGACTCACATTCCTCCGTAATCCATTTATAAAACATGATCTGGCCAGGTGTCTTGAGTGAAAATCCCGGTCATTACTCAACAATTTTGTGGGGAGTGAAACGAAGTTTGCCCAAGTTAAGGACTGGTTCCTGTTCAAGCAATGTGGATTTTATTTTATTATGTTTTATTTTTATTATTTTATTACTTCCCTTCTACGTGACTTTACCGAAAGAACCAAGAAGATTTCACTTCTGTTTCAGGACTCGAAGTGGAGTTGAGTACTTTCCATTTCTTGTATGTCATATTTAAACACAGTTTTAGCATGTTATATGTAAGGTTGAGGTGCAAGCATTTTTTTGCAGTTGTTTAAAACATTTACATTTTCAGCTGGAAACGTTTTAACCAAAAAATATCGCGAGAGAACACTGCATTAAAAAAAATGACGACTAACGTCATACCTAGACAATACATTTTACGATAGAGCATCTGGTTGCCAGGCATACTGTGTTGCTCCATTCTGCCTGTGAAGGAGAGGTTAATTGTCTGTGCACCCGTTAGACCTCAGTGCTGAGCAGACGCAAAGGCAGCAGGTCCCGTAACGATGAGAGCATCTCGGCATAGAGCTGCTTGAATCTTCACATCCTTCAGATGTTGCGGTGAACGTGAACGCCGTGGCTACATCCGTGCTCTTCATTAGCAGCTACCCATGGTTCATAGGGGGTGCACCCAGAGATGCTTTTGGTGGAACAAGAATCACTTTACAATTCTGTGCAATCGTGATCGACGGGCAAAATGATTTTTTAAAAGTGAAAATATGTGAGCCCGATACTTGTAGCAGCTGTGGTTTTACATCATCTTGCCTCGGAACTCTGAAGTATCTCACAATATAGCTTATAACTGTGAGCTAATACTTTAACCACGTTTTCTGCACTGAGCGACATGATCGGGCTTTTGTTAGCATAGCATCCAAGCTATAGAATGCCTTGCCACTTGAAATCAGGAAATCAGAGTCGGTAGAGTTATTTAAGTCTACTTTGATAACCGATCTCTTTAAAGTGGCCTTCCCTCTTCAGTTTGGTCAGTTTCCCTGGTTATGTTTTTGTTTCCTGCTTTCTATGCATTGCACATTGGGATCCTAAGATGGAATACGCATTATACATGTGCATATTTTATTTTTATTTAAACGCAATAGAAATAACCACATATCATGCAGCTCGAGTGCGTCAAGACATTAGTTTTAATTGAAATTGGAAACAAGTCAACATTTGAACATGTAACATACAGTCATCAAAGTTGATCTGAAACATCGGTACCATTTAGAATACAGGATTGTGCTTGTTTAACACACGGGCTGTCCCAAACAAATCGACACCCTGTCACGTGACTTAACAGATCGATTGTCACGCTGCATTCTGGCAAAGGCTCATATAATGAGACCAAGATTGGACCATGACCAAAACGCCAAAAAAATGTTACATTTTTAAATACAGTACTGGAAAAGTCATTGTAACTGGATAAAAACATAGTGGTGTACAATGACCGACTACAACACCAGATTTGACTGCATTGCTATTAAGCACCTCCGTTTGGCACGGTTGGCTACGTACCGTCCAAAATAAGTGCAACATACATGCATGCAAAGCAAATTATCCAAACTGGCAATCAGTTCTTGTTTAAGTCCGATCCTAAACCTGTGTTTCTTGGAATAAAAAAGACGTTTTCATACGTTTGTAAAAGTATTCGGAGTTTATCACGTTGTTGTTGATGGGAAGTCTTGGTTCTCCAAAGACCTGCAGGAAGGGATTGGATTCGTCTAAATTTATGCGAGTGACATCATCCTGGGGAGGTGTATCGTGGATGGGATCGGTGCTGGTCATGTCCCCATTCATCAAAATAACAGGAGCAGCTAAGGGCTCCAATTCCTGTCTTGCCACGGCATCCTGATGTCTCGTATCTTCTTTTCGCCTCTTTCTGTGGATATACAATGATACGGAAGGTTGATCAACACCACTATCGTACGTACATACAGTGCAAGTGAATAAATCGCGCACACTGAATTTGGCACGTGAATATAGCCTTGCAATTAGTTGTGCTTACAAACGGAACGTGCAATGTCGTGTACATTAACCAAGCAGTAAACATGTAATACATGAATTAAATGTTCATGATAAAAGTTATTTTGGGGTTAAATCGCGTCAAGATAAATGTGTCGTGAACCCACCACCGCCTGACACAGTCATCTAGTAAGGTTTGTCATGTAAACAAAACACACGACAGTTAGTTACTAGTTCAGCACACCGGTGTGTTGAAGAGCAAACTCGGCAACGTTTACAATTTTTGACGTTGGGCTGGTGATTACAATCAGCTTGATCAGGTGAATTGTGCTGGAATTGAAGTCCAACTTTAATGGTATAGTATCTATATATTGTTTTACAAATGTACAAGAATATAATTGTGAATATTTTTACCTGCTTTTCAACAACCCAAAAAATTAATTTCGATTTAAAGCTTTCGTGACTGCAGGGATTCATCTTCTTGGTTCTTTCGGTAAAGTCACGTAGAAGGGAAGTAATAAAATAATAAAAATAAAACATAATAAAATAAAATAATTCTCACGACGTTTCGGCTACAACGCAAGCAGCCGTCTTCAGGTGAAGAATGAGACACTACCAAGCTAGGAACTTATATATAAGCTGCGTTGGAGGTGGAAGAGCGCCTGCACATTCTTTTTGTTAAGGTGCTCTTCCACCTCCAACGCAGCTTATATATAAGCTCCTAGCTTGGTAGTGTCTCATTCTTCACCTGAAGACGGCTGCTTGTTGTAGCCGAAACGTCGTGAGAATTATTTTATTTTATTATGTTTTATTTTTATTATTTTATTACTTCCCTTCTACGTGACTTTACCGAAAGAACCAAGAAGATGAACCCAAAAAATAATTATTAATTACACTTTTTGAGTACCATGTGTGCGTCAATTATGAACACAAATACAATAATTTATACACCAATGATACATCTTGAAATGTACTCACTTTAAGTACACGAAGGCAGTGACAGTTAATGTGGCCAGAGCAAGGCAGGCTGAACACAGAACAATACAAAATAAGCTTATCATGCTTGTCCCACCATGCAGATAGACTTTTTTCAGAGCATCTGAGAAATAAATTCAAGCACGTGTAATTGCTCAACGTCACAAACATCACATTTGTTTAACCAGAATACACGAACAGTCATTTATGGTAATAACTTAAAAATAACAATTCATACGATTCATAGCCATCATCTTTTATACCACCCTTGGTGGGAAATATCATTGTGAGAAGTCAGCAGTGGTCATACTCTTACAGACTGATCACTGCCATAGTAATGTGTAATTTCCGCAATTGGCTCAGAGCTGTGCATAGAGACGAGCACTGTACCATATTGATTTCAGAAGTAAAACGCTTATCATGTTTGTATGCGCACGGTTAGAACAAGTTTGCGCTTTCCTACCTGGATATTGTGTCGGCTCAGACTCCACTGAGCTCTCTATATAAATTGTTGTGCTTGCCGCATCGTTAAATTTCTGTACATATAAAACAAAACTGGATTAAAAGAAGAAATGCCATTAGCTGTTACATCACAGTAGGTGTATTCATACCTGTCAACCCATACGGTTTAGCCGTATTCTTGTACAGGAAAATTGAGTTTTCATGTCCATACGGCGTACAGCCGTTTCAATACGGGCAACAAAAGTGTGTTTTGTCTTTTTGTTTGTGCTTCTCCATTGCGATGGGACTTAGTAGGATGAACATTGAGATTAATCAGGGGCACGGGGTGACCAATAAGGTCTGAATTGGTCTGTAATAAGCTAGGGGCACTGATACGGGGTTGACAGGTGTGTTTATTACACCGTTGTATTTTTTGTCAGAAACACTATGGTCATAATACTGTGAATACGCTCATTATATTCTACGCTTTAACGGGAACAGCAGTCAACATTAGTTGTGTATTTAACGATTATTGTTGAACTTTCAAGATTGATACAGCCGATTTTTAATCAATATCTCACGACTGTGTATGTTTGTTGGCAATGTTGGCAAAATTGGTCGTAAGCTTTGGCATATTACAAGTTTTTTTTTAAGCAATAGTATTGGTCAGGGTGGTTAATGATCACATGACCATACAGTACCTGCAAATACTTTCAAGTCAACCAGGAATTGGAAAACAGCATTATGAGGATGTGGAGGTGAGATTTGTAACTTTAATGAACCACAGAACTACTTAATATTTCGTTTCACCTTAGGAATGTCCACTTTGGATTCATCTTCTGCAAAAAAAATATAAACATTATTTTAAAGTGCATGAAGTTGCAGATGTAACCCACAAATGTGTGGTATACATGTCGTGAATTTAAATAACACGTATGTAATTTTCAACAATCGTATAATATGATGGTAACTTTGGATGTCAAGTACTTAAAATGCACCTTCGATTTTGATCAAGGACAATAGGTCGTGACAGGGAGCTTGGACAATTATTTGATGGGAGTATTTTTTCTCAATTAAAACATTGTATCGACTCTAGATTTGAAGCTTTCGTGACTGCAAGGATTCATATTCTTAGGTTTTTTCGGTAAAGTCACGTAGGTAAAACATTACAATTAATAAAAGTAAAATAAAATAAAAAATCACGACGTTTCGGAGGCAACACAACAGCTATATCAAGTTAATGATACAGCTGTCGTGGCTGTGACGGTTCCACCTGAAGACGGAAGCTTGTGTTGCCTCCGAAACGTCGTGATTTTTTATTTTATTTTACTTTTATTAATTTTAATGTTTTACCTACGTGACTTTACCGAAAAAACCTAAGAATATGAATATTGTATCGACCGTTACTCAGGACCCCAACATGTTTTACTCCCTAAAGGCGGAAAATCCCAGACAAGTCATGGGCTGCGTTACACAGCAGCAGATGCCGATGGCGTCACCCAGCTCTGCCTATCACCTCCCGCCCATTGGCATGCGTTGGAAACAAAGATTAGACTTTAAAACAACGTACATTATCCAATCAGTCGAGTAAATGAACCAAACATCGTTAGAATATCGATTACTGAAATCCACGTATTCGCAATACATTGCACAGAGATGTTTTTTGCACATGCACTATTTGTGACCATCTTCTTGGTTCTTTCGGTAAAGTCACGTAGAAGGGAAATAATAAAATAATAACAATTAAACATAAAAATAAACATATTATTTCCCTTCTACGTGACTTTACCGAAAGAACCAAGAAGATGAATCCCTGCAGTCACGAAAGCTTTCAAATCGAAATTTATTTGTGACCAGTTGATTCACCTTCCTACGACCAAATCCACGTCAATATTCCACGAACTTATTTGTGAAACTCTCAGCTGACAAAGAGAATAATAATGAATGCGTGTAACGTATATATTTTTTTACGATTTACTCCACGCAAAGTCAAACACACCGTTTGATGTGTTTACGTAAGTCGGTGGACTCCAGTCACTCCATCTTCCATAATCCAGGAAATCCTTGGCGCGCACGCGTATCACGCGCGAGGTGCCAGGATGGGAATCAAGGATTTTGAACACCCATACATTTTCGCGAGACGTGGCGATCTTGATCTTCGATTTATCAGGATACTATAACAAACAGTCAGACACAAGCGCACACACACACACGTAACAATTTGGAATATTGTACATACTGTCCTCTTCTTGGTTCTTTCGGTAAAGTCACGTAGAAGGGAAGTAATAAAATAATAAAAATAAAACATAATAAAATATTATAATAAAACATAATAAAATATAATGTTTTATTTTTATTATTTTATTACTTCCCTTCTACGTGACTTTACCGAAAGAACCAAGAAGATGAATCCCTGCAGTCACGAAAGCTTTAAATCGAAATGTACATACTGTGTTACGGCCAAAGTGAAAAAAGTCAACGTGTGTTTCTGCTCAAATTGGCAATGGGATGGCAACCCTTTACGTTGGCAGCAAAGCTCTGGGGTCAGCATGATGACCATCGTGCAATGTGTTTTTTTTTTGTTTGTATCAAAGTAGGGCCCTTGTGCAATACATGTTGAGCAAATCGTTGGCGAGTAAGAGGCGATTCTTTCGTATTTGACGTTAAACAACAGGAGAACCGCGAATGTGAACAGCGAAGGGAAGGCTAGATTTGAAGCTTTCGTGACTGCAAGGATTCATACTCTTAGTTTGTATCGGTAAAGTCACGTAGGTAAAAAAATGAAATTAAAATTAATAAAAAATAAAATAATACAGCAAATCTGGCTGTGACGGTCCCACCTGATGACGGAGACTTGTGTTGCCTCCGAAACGTCGTGTTTTTATTATTATTTTATTTTTATTAATTTGTATTTAATTTTTTTACCTACGTGACTTTACCGAAAAAACTAAGAGTCTGAAGGGAAGGCTGTTCCTGAAGCGAGGTGAACAATGAAGTGACCTTCATGGGTGCAAACACTCAGCATCGCAATCGTGGAGCATTCTGGTGAATGGCATAAGTACAATGAATTCCATTCTGTACCTTCACAGGAAAATAAAATCAATTTAGTATATTGTCTTTTCGGCCCTTCTAGACTTGTATTAACTCATAGCATCTGTTCAAGCAACAAACTCTGGACCTGTTTTGACACTATTGGTCTCATCAGCATTGTTCATGTTTGTTCAATCAATACTGCCCGTTTATCATATAAATGTATCATAAGTTATTGTTCAGAGCACTCCTTCTAACCAATAGGGCCCGAACAGCACAAAAAACTCATGATGTGCTGTAGTGCAGCATTATGGGTAATGAACATAAGCAAATCCATAAAAAAATATTTTATTCTGAAGTGATAAGTGGGTTGAATAAAGATAGTTATGACAATTATTATTTTTCTACCTACGTGACTTCACCGAAAGACCCAAAGAGTATGAATCACTGCAGCCACGAAAGCTTTAAGTTAAGATTTATAGTCACGTGGAAGGGAAATAATAAAAGAATACAAATAAAACATGTTTAATCATAATTTTTATTATTTTATTATTTCCCTTCTACGTGACTTTACCGAAAGAACCAAGAAGAGGAATCCCTGCAGTCACGAAAGCTTTCAATCGAAATTCAAGATTTATAGTTATGAATATATAATGCATAAGTGCAACAAGACGTTAAAACGGGAAAGTGTTTACCTGTCTGTAATTTTTCTCTTCCATTGATTTGTACTCCAGCTCAGCTGTGAGCGTGAACCCCTTGTTTGCGTGGTGCCACGTGCTTGGATACGAGCAGATCACCCATACATGCTTCTGGCGTCCCTGGCCTGGAATTACTTTTAGAATGATGGGTGGGTCTGGTTTCACTAAACAAATGAAGAAATAACAAAACGTCGATCCTAATTACCACTTGCTTCAATCAACGGTTTCATCACAACGCAAGTGATTAATATAAAGTATAGGTTTTTACCCTTTCAACTGGTACAAAAACGGACACCTTTATACAAAGCATCAATATTAATTACAATTACATCGTTGTTCATGCCATTAACTGCTAATGTTAATATCGTTAGAAGCATGATATTGTTGGTTACGTTAAAAACACAGTTATTGCTTAATATTTCGTCCATTTGTCATTTTCCATGGCTCACCAAGTCCTGTATTTTAGTGTTCAAAATAATAATATTTTCATTTGATACTCGGTCGTTCAAAGTTAACTAATTACTTAACATTTAACTTGTTTGCAGGCCAATATGCAGACCTACGCAATTTTTGCAGACCCATTTCCATTGGTCATGTTACAACCGAAAATAAATGAATGGTTGTTCTTACGGATTGACTTCAGGGAAAACTTTGCAGTTTCACTTCCTTCACATCCAAGTGCATTTTTAGCAACCACAGTCACGGCGTAGGGATACGGTTCGTTGTATTTGCCGGCAAAGGAACATTCATTTCGGCGGCGCTTTGGGATGCATTTGATATCGGCGTCCCTAAACAAGAAAACAATGTTTACAACGCAGCCATTCTACAGCATGCTTCAAAAAGATGTTAACACTTCTGAAAATTTGCAACAAAACCGCAAGAAATGTGCCTTGGGGACCACCTGGAGAAGATTCCAGGCACGTGTTGGCAATGATTGCGAACAAGTGGAGACTTTTTGACTTTTTTGAGCTATTCACATACATTTCGATTTAAAGCTTTCGTGACTGCAGGGATTCATCTTCTTGTTTCTTTCGGTAAAGTCACGTAGAAGGGAAGTAATAAAATAATAAAAATAAAACATAATAAAACAATTCTCACGACGTTTCGGCTACAACGCAAGCAGCCGTCTTCAGGTGAAGAATGAGACACTACCAAACTAGGAGCTTATATATAAGCTGCATTGGGGGTTGAAGAGCGCCTTAACAAAAAGAATGTGCATGTGAAGAGGGATTTAGCATATTCATGGAAAATGCGTAGGCGTTGGGCGGGGGGGTGTCAAAGTCATATTATGCCCATGCATTATGCAGGATCAGCAGCAACCAAGGGGGGTGCAGGGATTAGCAGTAACAAAGGAAAGGAATGTTAATGATATGTAGCTGCAGTTACTCAACAACACGTAGAAAACTAAAGTATAAACTACATAAAAAACTAAAGTATAAACTGCATCGCACCATCAGTATACTTACTATACTCTATAATAAGCTGAGTTACTAACAGCAAGTAATACATTACAATTTTACCTCGTAAAAATTCTATAATATGCTTCCATCTAAACCTTATTCTCTTACATCACACGAGCATATACCGTACTATATACTGCCATAGATAAACCCAACATTAAATTATATACTGTATTGCTGTAAACCAACCTATATCTTATACATTTAATATCACACTATGTATTATTCTACACACCCTAATGTGTATCGAAATGGTTTATTACGTCCTTCCAATGATTGCTGAGCCAGAATCCATCTTCTCGGTTAAAGTTGTCTCTGTGTTTGTATATGTGGATCGCCTCATGAACGAATCTCTCATGATAGCCAGATGGCTTGCAGAGAACCTCTGTCTTGGAGAAGTCAATATCATGTGAGCCCACTGAGTTGTAACAGTGATCTGCCACGGCTGAGGTGTTAGTCCTACCGTGTTTCAGGTCAGCTTTATGTTCATGGATGCGGTCCGAGACATGTCGTTTGGTTTCCCCAATGTAACTGCTACCACAGAGGCAACTTAGTTTGTAGACGCCAGGGTACTGTATGTCTGGAACCACATCTTTTACAGACGGTACCAGATCACGGATTTTATGTACTGTGTTGAATCGGACCTGGATCTTGTGTTTAATCAGGATTTTGGAGATCTTTTTTGTGACCCCAGCAATGTAGGGTAAGGTGATGGTCTTGAAAGGCTCCTCAACAGGATCCTTCTTGATGGTTGGAGTGATGGCTTTGCGGATTGTATAGTCGGAGTAACCATTTGCCTTAAGAGCTTGGCGTACGTGTTTGAGTTCACTGGAAATGTGTTCATGGTCGGAGATGCATTGGGCTCTATGATATAGAGTCTTGATGAGGGAATTCTTCTGAGATGGATGGTGGTGGGAATCCGGTTTTAGATAAGCATCCGTGTGGGTGGCTTTCCTGTAGACAGAGTGGCTCATTGAACCATCAGGTCTCCTTTTGATTAGGACATCCAAAAAGGGTAGCTTGCCATCATTTTCGACTTCCATGGTGAATCTGATGGCTGGGTGTATGGAATTGATGTGGTCGAGAAATTGGTCTAGAGCAGGCCGGCCATGTGGCCAGATGACAAAAGTGTCGTCTACGTACCTCTTCCATAAGGTCGGGCGTAGAGTGGCAGTCTGGATGGCGTCCGTCTCAAATTTCTCCATGAAGATGTTGGCTACAACCGGAGATAGGGGGGAGCCCATTGGGGTGCCCTCAATTTGCTTGTAGAAGGTTCCATTCCAGGTGAAGTATGTATTGGTTAAGCAGTGTCTCACCAGGGGGGGTACCCCAGCATTCAGTCCTTGATGAACCAAGTCTTCAATGATTGCGATGGTGTCAGGCACAGGTACCTTGGTGAACAAGGAAACCACATCAAAACTGACAAGCAGGTCGTCTGGGGACAGGGCAATCCCCTTGATTGTCGATACCAGGTCAGTAGAGTTTAGTACTGCAGAGGTGGTTTTTCCAGTGAAAGGCCGTAGGATTTCGGACAAAAAACGAGCCAGTTTGTAAGTGGGGGAGTTGATAGTAGAGACAATGGGACGAAGAGGTGTATCTTCTTTATGTATCTTTGGCAAGCCGTACAATCTTGGTGGTCTGGCTGCAGAAGGTTTCAACGAGAACTGTTTGGTCTGATCAATTAATGCGGTTGAAGCAGCAATGATGTTGTTGGTTTTGGAGACGAGGCTGTTGGTGGGGTCTCTTTTTATTTTTGTATAGCTGCCATCGTTTAGTAGTTCTTGAATTTTGTTGTTGTATTCTATTTTGTCCATGATGACAGTGGCATTGCCTTTGTCGGCTGAGAGGATGACAATGTCATCCCTCTTTTTTAATTGAGCTAATTCAAAACGCTCCTCTTTGCTGATGTTGCTAGCTGGCATCTTAGCGTTTTTGAGGGTTACAGAGATTTCGGATCTTGCTACGTCTGCAGCGATGTGACTCAAGCCCTTGAGAGCTACATCTACTCGAGCAATTATATCATTAACTGGTATGTGTCTAGGTGTGACTGCAAAGTTTAGTCCTTTAGCTAAAACGGATTTCAAACCTTCAGAAATAGGACTGTTACTGCGATTAATTACGACTTTGTTAATATCTAGCTTTTCAATGTGTGGGTCCGGTTTCTTGTTTGAGAGGCGATTGAATTTGGAAATCAAGTTGTCCTTACATTTAGTCGACATAGCGGCAGCTGAAGAGGCAGTCATTTTTTCCACATGTTCCCAATCCGATGTGGACATTGTTACACTCAAAGATAAGTGTGATTTGTAGAGTGTCTTGTCTAACTGATCTAGTTCGGTGCGCGTAAGTCTGATTTTCTCTGAGATAAGAGCTAAGCTAGTTCTAGACAGAATTCGTTTCGCATTAGAAGAAGTTACAGCAGCAGATGTTAGTGTAAATGCGTTTGGTATTACCTTAGAGTCGCGGCATCTCTTCAGAAAGGTGAGAGACTCGATTAGCTGAGCCTTCTTATCCCGGAGCTTGTTGAAGGATCTCAAAGTTATGTGGAAACCCTCCCCGTAGAGGCGGTTAAATTTCGATTTAAAGCTTTCGTGACTGCAGGGATTCATCTTCTTGTTTCTTTCGGTAAAGTCACGTAGAAGGGAAGTAATAAAATAATAAAAATAAAACATAATAAAACAATTCTCACGACGTTTCGGCTACAACGCAAGCAGCCGTCTTCAGGTGAAGAATGAGACACTACCAAACTAGGAGCTTATATATAAGCTGCATTGGGGGTTGAAGAGCGCCTTAACAAAAAGAATGTGCATGTGAAGAGGGATTTAGCATATTCATGGAAAATGCGTAGGCGTTGGGCGGGGGGGTGTCAAAGTCATATTATGCCCATGCATTATGCAGGATCAGCAGCAACCAAGGGGGGTGCAGGGATTAGCAGTAACAAAGGAAAGGAATGTTAATGATATGTAGCTGCAGTTACTCAACAACACGTAGAAAACTAAAGTATAAACTACATAAAAAACTAAAGTATAAACTGCATCGCACCATCAGTATACTTACTATACTCTATAATAAGCTGAGTTACTAACAGCAAGTAATACATTACAATTTTACCTCGTAAAAATTCTATAATATGCTTCCATCTAAACCTTATTCTCTTACATCACACGAGCATATACCGTACTATATACTGCCATAGATAAACCCAACATTAAATTATATACTGTATTGCTGTAAACCAACCTATATCTTATACATTTAATATCACACTATGTATTATTCTACACACCCTAATGTGTATCGAAATGGTTTATTACGTCCTTCCAATGATTGCTGAGCCAGAATCCATCTTCTCGGTTAAAGTTGTCTCTGTGTTTGTATATGTGGATCGCCTCATGAACGAATCTCTCATGATAGCCAGATGGCTTGCAGAGAACCTCTGTCTTGGAGAAGTCAATATCATGTGAGCCCACTGAGTTGTAACAGTGATCTGCCACGGCTGAGGTGTTAGTCCTACCGTGTTTCAGGTCAGCTTTATGTTCACGGATGCGGTCCGAGACATGTCGTTTGGTTTCCCCAATGTAACTGCTACCACAGAGGCAACTTAGTTTGTAGACGCCAGGGTACTGTATGTCTGGAACCACATCTTTTACAGACGGTACCAGATCACGGATTTTATGTACTGTGTTGAATCGGACCTGGATCTTGTGTTTAATCAGGATTTTGGAGATCTTTTTTGTGACCCCAGCAATGTAGGGTAAGGTGATGGTCTTGAAAGGCTCCTCAACAGGATCCTTCTTGATGGTTGGAGTGATGGCTTTGCGGATTGTATAGTCGGAGTAACCATTTGCCTTAAGAGCTTGGCGTACGTGTTTGAGTTCACTGGAAATGTGTTCATGGTCGGAGATGCATTGGGCTCTATGATATAGAGTCTTGATGAGGGAATTCTTCTGAGATGGATGGTGGTGGGAATCCGGTTTTAGATAAGCATCCGTGTGGGTGGCTTTCCTGTAGACAGAGTGGCTCATTGAACCATCAGGTCTCCTTTTGATTAGGACATCCAAAAAGGGTAGCTTGCCATCATTTTCGACTTCCATGGTGAATCTGATGGCTGGGTGTATGGAATTGATGTGGTCGAGAAATTGGTCTAGAGCAGGCCGGCCATGTGGCCAGATGACAAAAGTGTCGTCTACGTACCTCTTCCATAAGGTCGGGCGTAGAGTGGCAGTCTGGATGGCGTCCGTCTCAAATTTCTCCATGAAGATGTTGGCTACAACCGGAGATAGGGGGGAGCCCATTGGGGTGCCCTCAATTTGCTTGTAGAAGGTTCCATT